TTGAAAAAATGGAATTATATTAGAAAAACAGAATTACATTTGGAAAAAAACAGACTCACATTAAAAAAATGGAATTACGTTTGAAAAAATGGTATTATATTAGAAAAACAGAATTACATTTTAAGAAATGGAATTACATTTGAAAAAAACATAATCAAAAATTATATGTTTTCTGTTTTTTCCAATGAAATTCTGTTTTTTCAAATGTAATTTTAGTTTTTCTCAAATGTGATTTTGGCCACTTCCGCTTTGGCTTAATGTAATTCCGTTTTTTAAAATGTTGTATTTTTGTTGTTTTAGTTGTGTTTTTTCAAATGTAATTCTGTTTTTTCATATGTTGTTTATTTACACCTTAGGGCCACCATATGTTGTGCGTTTAAACAAACAAACAAAAAAGCAGTGTTTCTCATCTCTGAAGAATTTCTTTGGTGTGAATGAATGGTTTTTTCTTTCCAGTCCTCCCAGTCAGGAGGCACCAACATGAACCTGTCGGATCTGCCTACCCCTACCTCCTTCCCTCCCAGCGCCTTCAACTACGAGCGGCCGAGGCATTTCATCCAGTCACAGCCAGCTTTCCAAGTGCCAAGCTACGAGTGTGTCCTGAGAGAGGCCCAGGAGAACCAGAATCACCAACTAAACCTCAATAGCACCCAGAGTCCAAATGTTACAGAGACTCAAAGTCACATTAAAAACACACAGACTCAGTCATTTTCTCAAACCCAGTCAGTGCCGAAGTCTGTGATGCAAACACAGTCACAATTTCAATCCCTGAACCTCATTCAGAACCAAACAACTTCAGTGACCCACTCTCAGATTCAGAACCAGGCCAAGCTGTCCACTTCACTGTCCAGCTGCAACCGTCCTGCTTCCGTCTCCGATTCCTCTGCTGTATTTCCTCTGTCCTGCTCTGCTTCCTTACTCACTCCCTCTGCTCCCACCTCCTCCTCTCCTGCCCCTACCATCTCATCTTCTCTGACCCGCCCCACCATGCGCTCCACCATCACTCTCACCCCCAGAGTTCCCAGTGTGACGGGCCTTGGCAGCGCCACCTTGCCAGCCAACCAGGACACCATGTTAGCATCAGCTGCTTACCTCTGCTCTGTGCTGCCCTCCCAGTCCTCCACCTCCACTCTGTTCTCCTCCAAATTATCTCCCAACTCCAACCTCTCCCACCACTCCCCTTCTCACTCTAGCTCCCCACTTTCACCCTCCAGCCCCCTCCTTCCTACGGAGGCCTCTTCTCCATCCTCCCTTTCTCAACAGCCACTTTTAATGTCCCCTTCTCTCTCTGGCTCCACTCTGTCTTCCCCCTCTTCTTCTCTCCCACAGCCGAAAACCCCCAACATTCAGAACATGGATCAACCTGCTGTAGTCTCTCTGCCTGCCAGCTACAAGGGGACACCCAACACGTGAGTTTAATATACATTTTATACCATACCATACCAGCTTTATTTATAGAGCACTTTAAACACCTACAGAACCAAAGTGCTGTACACACAACAAAACAATCATACAGTCAGATAAGAAAAATGATTAAAATGATTAAAAATCAGATAATAAAAGTCGTGTAAAATAGAATCATACAATCGGATAATACAAGCGGTAAAAATTATTAAAAGTCAAAATCTCAGATGGTGCCAAAGGCCACGGAGAAGAGATGGTTTTAAGAAGGGATTTAAAAAAAAAAAATTTTTATTTACCCTTTATTTATACAGGTAGTGTCATTGAGTCTCATTGAGGTTTAAAAACGGAAAGGGAAGAGGCCTGTCTGATGTTCAAGGGAAGGTCGTTCCACAGTTTAGGAGCTGCTACAGCAAAAGCACGGTGTCCTCTGATTTTACGCTTTGTCTTTGGCACACTCAAGAGCAGCTGATCACATGACCTGAGGGATCGAGAGGGTGTGTATAGATGCAGCAACTCGGACAGATAGGGCAGGGCAAGTCCATTAAGAGCTTTAAAAGCAAATAAAAGAATTTTAAAATGAATCCTGGAATGTACGGGCAGCCAGTGCAGGGAGGCTAAAACAGGAGAAATGCGTTCAAACTTTCATGTGCCAGTTAAAAGCCGTGCAGCAGCATTCTGTACCCTCTGAAGCTGAGAGATACATGAATCACTGATTCCTGTATAGAGTGCATCACAGTAGTCCAGCCGAGTGGTCACAAAGGCATGAACTACTGTTAGGATCGGCTTCACCTTAGCCAGCTGCCTCAGATGGAAAAAACAAGTTTCAACAACTGCTCTGACGTGGTTTTCTAATTTTAGTCCAGCATCGACTTTGACCCCCAGGTTTGTAATAATTGGCCTGATATACTGGGCCAATGAACCAACAATGACATTGGGAGTCTCAGTGGAGCTTCCAAAGATCATCACCTCAGTTTTTTCCTCATTAAACTTTAAGAAGTTTACAGCCATCCAGGCTTTGATGTCCTCCAGACATGAAAACAGAGGGGCCAGAGAGTTAGTCATTTTTCTTTAGCGAGACATATATCTGCGTATCATCTGCGTAACAATGAAATAAGATCCCATATTTTCTAAAAATAGAGCCAAGAGGGAGCAGGTATAGCATGAAGAGGAGGGGCCTAAGACTGAGCCCTGTGGAACCCCACACAAGAGAGGAGCAGAGGAGGACACATAGTCACCAAGGCAGACACAGAAAGTACCCTCCACTAAGTAGGACCTAAACCAGACCAGTGCTGCACCACTGACACCCCCCCCCCCCCCCCCCCATTGCTTCAAACGACAAAGTAAGATGTTATGGTCCACGGTGTCAAAAGCAGCTGATAAGTCTAAAAGCAGGAGGACAACACAGTCACCAGAGTCCGTTGCTAAAATGTTGTTGAAAACCTTTAAAAGAGCAGATTCTGTGCAGTGTAGAGCTTTAAAACCAGACTGTAAAACCTTGAGGATGTTCTGTTCTTTCAAATATGCTGATAGCTGTTCGTACACCACCTTCTTGAGAATTTTTGAAAGAAATGACAGTTTGGAGATTGTCCTGTAGTTAGCAAGAACAGAGGGGTCCAGAGTAGGTTTCTTAATGAGAAGCTGGACCGCTGCATGTTTAAAATTTCCAGGGACAACACCAGAGGACAGACTGCTGCTCAGAAGAGCAAGGACCGAAGGACCCACAGTGAGGAAAACCTCTTTGAATAAACAAGGAGGTATAGCATCACTTGGTGAACCTGTTGGCTTTAAGTGACTGACCACCTGCTGCAGAGACGAGAGAGTCACAGGTTCAAAGCTGTCAAAAACAGTCGAGCAAGGCACAAAGACTGAGGGGTCATGAGCAGAAGGAGAGATCTGGGCTCTGGTGGAATTGACTTTCTCAACAAAGAAATTTAGAAAGTTTTCACATGCAGCAGGTGAGGATTCAATACAGTTAGTTTGTGGTGCATTAATAACAGAACAAATTACTTTAAATAAAACATAAGGATTGTGACTGTTTGATACAATCACATTTGACAAGTATTTTCTTTTGGCATCTTTCACAGTTTTTTGATAGTGACGCCAGCAGTCCTTTAATATTTGAAATGACACCTGTAATTTGTCTGCTTTCCACCTGCGCTCGGCTCTGCGACACTCTCTCCTGGCCGCCCTGGTGTTGTCATCCAACCATGGTTCGCACTTGATTTTAGGAGATCTGATTTTTAACGGAGACACAGAATCCAGAACTGTTGTGCAGGTGGAGTGAAACCATGAGCTGAGGGTCTCGGTGTTGCTGGTCTCTGGGACGGCACAGTTCTGATTAAAAGCAGATGAAAAGAGACCAGCAGTGGAAGAGTTCAAAACTCGACAGAGTCAAGCTGCAGCGCGGGGTTTAGCTTTAGTGCAGGACAGGTTTGTTTCAAATAAAACAGGCATGTGGTCTGAAAACACAGGATCACTACTCACTACATTAAAAACAGGTAGACCGCACGATAAAACCAGATCCAGAGTGTGTCCATGTTCACAGACTGCACAAGATTAATGATTAATAATTTATGACACTCGCTTGATGTGTCAGATAATCATTTAGGGGCGTTTACACGGCGCGTATTTTGAGTGCATCCGCTCCTTTTTCTCTGCGGTTCTGCTGATCATTTACACGACACCAGTGGCCCCCCTCTTTGAATCCGGAGGTTTCTGAACCCACCTTCCAGAGTGGAGATTTTTGCTGACCCCCCACTGATAATGTAAACATCTCCAGCTGAGGCTTTGTGTTAAACCACATACTCACGCGTGGACCGACGCTATATTTCTATCAACATTGCGGCGGACACAGTGCTTTCTGAACTACGACTGATGGAATATATTTTTAATCTTGTAGTTAATCTACGTCAGATTCCAGGTGCTGTGACCAACATCTGTGTTGCAAGAGACACAATCTGATCCAGTTCTAATATCGCTGTTTATAGAACGAGGCACGCGCACACGTCGCGCTGCACTAGAACATACTATGTGCTAAATAACAAGTTTAATAATAATAAACAGTATTTATCTTAAGTTTGGGATATATAATTAAGCTATCTGGACATTATGTAATTCAAATTATGTGATTAAAATGATGCTAAGCATATTGCGTGTTATTAAAATTGAAAATGAAGACATCAGGTTTAATTTTTATTTATTTATCCAACACCACAAACTGTATGTCACACAAACAATGATAATTAAACTGAACACACGATTAAAAACAAGTTAACTGTAAACTACGTTAATGAACTGGACTCTTCCTCTGTTTTCATCCTGGATGTCCCACGTTGTCCATCTGACTCGTTCAGGCTGTCACTCCTTTGATTAATGCAACGTAAAACATTCAATGGTTTGAATAAAAGAACTGAGGGGAATTTTAAATAAGTAGTTCATCCAACATCTCTGTCTTCGACGTCCTCTTGCAGTTCATCTGGGCCGAGCCTCGTTCAGAACCGGTCCGCCTGGTGGGAGGACAGCTCCTTCTTCTTTCAGGAAAAATAAAAACTCAGTTGGTTGTTTTGTAACTGAAGTAAACACAAGCAAACATTATTAAGAACATTGATTTACCTGCAGTAAATCAGCTACTGATTATCACGGAATAAAGTCCAACATCGTCGACTCGGTTCTGGTCCACTCAGCGACCGGTGTGGAGCTGTTAGACGAAGCGGTCCTGCTTGGCGTCAAATTTGTCGACTCTTATCCAAAATCCATCCAGAATCCAGCTTTAACTTGTTGTTACGTTGTTGTTAGCCGAACTTTTAGCCCAGAGGAAAACATGAATGCATGCGCATTAGGTGAAGGTACAAAATTCACAGCGCCATCTAATGACCCGGCATGGTAACTACAGCGGATTCGGGAGGGCGGGGGGGAATCCTCCGGATGCATGTAAACCCAAAATCCGACCGTGTCAACGCAAATCTTTCCTTTAACATACAAAAAAACCTACGTTTCCCCCCATCGTGTCCGTGTAAATAGGGCCTTAATCCGTTTTTATTGTGCCAAAACTTCAGTATTGATATACACGCTAACATGTGTAGCATCCATCTTAACTTTAGTAAAAACAGTGTGCTGCATGTGACGTCTTCTGTGCTTGTAGGTTGGAGTGTTTACACTGCATTCTAATGGAGGTCACATTTAAGTTATAATGTGAACGACAGCCCCCAAAATTAGAACTGAGCAAAAATATTGTAATTTATAGTAGGGGGTAGTGACAAAGGTTTGTTACATTAAGTCCTAAATATAGATATTTACAGGATTAAAATGTGTCTGTTACCCTCCTTTTAGCCTACCTAAACCTATATTGAAGAAGTCTGTTGTGCCTCAGCACTCCTCCTCTTCCTCCATAAAAGAAGACATCCAGGGCTCGAAAGATGCTCTCATTCAGGACCTGGAAAAGAAGCTTCGCTCTAAAGAAGTCAGAAGAAGACACAGTCAGGTATGATGGTGTGTTCTGCAGACTGAGAAAAAAAAGATACAAATTCTTATCCCTAGATTTCTGGCCTGGGTGGACAAATAACGTGTTTTGCACTTGATAATTTTTAATACTTTTATTACTTAGATTATGTTTTTACAATGTGTGCAGCTTTTCTCACTGCAGTGTTCTCTTCAATGAAAATAACATTTTCAAAGCTCCTTGTTATAGATGAAAACACACTTTTTGGGGGTTTCAAATGGTTGCAGCAGTTTTGAATGAATTAAACTCAACAAATGATCACACGAGATATTAATGACAGTTTGTGCATTGATTCTGTTTGAATCTGTTTGTCTAGTTTGTGCGTATTGTTACCAATCATGAGGTTTTAATGTTCATTTCAGAATCAACTTTATTGACATTGCACAGTTAAGCACAGCAAAAATACATTCCAGTACAGCCGTCCAACAAGGGTAGACAGAAATGCATGGAGGCTGAAGCTTCGGTGATGTGCTGCCCTTATCACTTAGAGAAGAAAAGGGAATTAAAAACATGAGGAAAGAAGGTATAAAAAAGATCTCTCACACTGTGTCCTTGACATAGGGCACAGTGTAAGGAAGCAAAAAAAACTACCTCAGCACAAGCAACATAGACATAATACATTTTGAGGAAGCCGACAAAGGGAGATTGTCTGAACACAACCGGAAAGTTGCATTGTCCTGATAAAGATGGTACAGTGTCTATCAGCCGGTGCAGCTCTGATAAGGGTCCACAGATGTTCTCTGGGGGACAGGGACGGGGGAGGGACAGCACAGATTCGTTATTTACATATCCTCCAGGAGCAATTTGAGATAATTTGACCTATCCAAGGCCAAACGGGGGAGCCAGTTACAGATAAGCAACAATTGTTTTGGGACAGGCCGACTCTACTGATTTCATGTCTGCCTTCAAAGTTTCTGCTGGTGCACTCAATGGCAAATACAAACAGCCAGATTCGTGGTCGTTCCACCGGTCCGTGCATGTAGCCTTCTCCAAGGTCGATTCATGCCAGCGAGCATCCGAGACTGAGAGCTCAAAACACGGTGCAGTCCTTATAAGACAGACAGCCTCACCATTGCCAAAACTGCAGCTGACTTCTTCCCAATTTGTCAATATCCCAGGTACCCGCTGATTCCAAAAAGCAGAGACCCTGTTATTATAAATCCAATTATGTACGCGTCTTCAACATTCTCAACGGACAATACAGACAGGCACATCATCTTTCATGCACCCCAGGAATCCATAATATATCCAGCTGCGTGTGTCCCTTGAGGGCATGAGGGCTCTCCTTCACCCCGTCTTCTCATCAAATAAATTGTATTGATTGCGTTGAGAAACCAGCTGACCAGATCCATGACCAGAAGATGTATAAAGAGAGGCTCTGAATTCACAGGGCAAGGGCAAAAGCAGGAGGGAGGCAGGGGAGGGAAAGAAAGAGTCAGTTTTCGTCAAGAGCAAGTCAGAAAGAAAGAAAAGAAAGAAAGGATTTGAGTGACAAGAAGTCCTGAAATTTGAATTTTCAGATATATCAACCCTCATAGTGGGATGTTCACAAGTTAAAATGTAAGTAAAGTAATAAAAGTTGACACTGAAAGTATCTTTTTACTTTCATGTAACATTGTTACATGAAAGTAAAAGGTAATATTTAAAGGGTAATATTTAAAAATATACAGCACATGCAGTCCTCTGCACAATACAAAATAACAAAAAAGTTATTTCTTTATTATTGTGTGTTATTGTTTATTATCGTTATTAAATGTTATTACTTTTTGCCAAACTGATAGATTTCTGCTTTAAAATGACTTAATTTTACTCAAAGGAATTATATTTTAAAGATTTTAGCTATTTAGTCGTTTAATACAGTTTATTTTTCATATTTGATCATTTATTGAATTATATTTATCACTAAACAATTACCTCACAGTATGGTTCCAAAAATAAACAAGCTTAGCACATACAGAGAACCAAAACCTGAAAATGTACTACAGCTTTCTCAATAACTTTTTGAGTAGGAGGTTAATGGTTCTCTTTCTATTTTAGTGGGAGTTTGGTCACACGCAAGTCAGACATGTCTTTATGCTAATGACGTTAGTCCTAATGCATTAACATTTAATACAAAGTTAAATTTTAGATGCAGAAGTCCCTTAAAGGTTGGGGCACGGTGTAGGATGATTAGGTAATGATGGGAAAAAAGCATATTTGGTGTCTCCCCACAGCACAGAATTAGTCAGGTTCAATTCAATTCAGTTTATTTATATAGCATCAAGTTACAACAGAAGTCCTCTCAGGGCATTGTACAGAAACTTACTTGGGTATGAACATGTATAGACATTTATGAATTTATTATATGTCGTGCTCTTTATGGCATGGTGGGCTGTTCAGCCCTCCTTGGATAATGAGGTAGGGTATGAGGTATAGGTATGAGTATTACTGCTCATAATAGAATTTTTAAACTTTTCAAGTATCTGAAGAACAAAAAGAAAGGTGTTTTTTGTGGAAAAATAGCAATACTAACACAAATACACTATAAATATATTTTATAACTGAAAAAATTGCAATGAGGTCACTTTTCCCTATTTAGAAAAAAAACTACTTAGAACAGTTTCTTTGAGCTGAAATTCTTGATCAGGACTGCTTGTACCACCACTCTTAATATGCATTCCTCTATGTTTGCATTAAGACATTTTAACAACATGACGCTTGTTTTTGACAGAAACTCTCCTATGAGGAGCAGATGGCTCGCAGGCTTTTGGGTCCAAACAACGCTACACACATGTTTGACAAAGACAATTTGTCAGATTCACAACTTGAGCAGGTACCACAACATGCTACATTTTTTAAAGATTTTTTATCATATACTGTATATATTCGAAAGTATTTACCAGTTTGCTTTTTCTTTTTTGTGTATTAGTAAATTGTAGATCAAAATAGATAAATTGAGATTAAATCTGTTTGATCTTAGTATGTGTGTGTGTGTGGTGGGGGTGTATATATATATATGTATGTATGTATGTGTGTGTGTGTGTGTGTGTGTATATATATATATATATATATATATATATATATATATATATATAATCTTGCGCTGAGTTGGGAGTAACTGTAGGACCACTGTAGGCTACAGAGGTTTTTTATTAAAATGTAGACCGGAAATAGTCCTTGCTTAAAGAATTAAAAAAAAGACTGTTATCAGCAGGGACTGGTAATTTAGTCATCATTTCCATCATTAAGAAACACCTTAGTAGAGCCCGACTGATATACTGGTAGGGGCCAATATTTTAGGCCAATATAGACATTTGGGTACCTATCAGTATTGGTGATAATTGTCCCATTATGCTCAGACATAAGCACTCCTAAGCACATTTATAAGCAGTTTTCACCTGTAAAATACTGAGAACCAGACTTAATTGAATCCAGCAGAGAGCACATGCAGACTACTTTCAAGTCATGGCCGTTTACTTAAGTTTCACTTTGACGTTCATCACAGTCGAGGCAGGGAGCAATATTGTGTAGAGTATTGTACTGAACAGAGCATGGTAAATTTATTTGAACTGATCTGTAAAATAAATCAACAATAATAAGTTTATCTTCAGTCCTCCAACCCGCTTGTCATTAACTATGTGTCTCTCAAGTTAGCAAGCTAACGCTTGGATAACCTAGCATAGATTATTGTCTTGTTAAACTTTAGCCGAAGCAATAAATCTAACGTAGAGGTAAAATATATCGATGTTAGTAATGTTATCTTTGTCATCCTCAATGAAATGCATTGTTTGTCTGAAATCTTTACTTCTCTGCAAAAAAAAAAAAAAAACAAACGCTGCTGCGGTCGATACAAATTAGATCTTTGCCTTATGTGACTAAGTGTTTAAACAATAAACAGGAAGGACGTTTCTTAGGTTAATTTATATTTTTGTAACACACAATAAATTTATGGTGAATAGTGGAGGATAGAAAATGTGAACGCACATTAGAAAGTCCATTTTTATAACCAGTGCACCACTTCTAAACCTACAGTAGTGTAGGACTACCTATATCATGGATCTGATTTGATTAGCTTCATGGTTGCTAACAGCTGTGTAAAACAAGCCCCGCTCCACTTGCTGTTTTCTTAGATTCTTGGGGGTGGTCAAAGCTTTAAAAAAATTCTGCCATTATTGGTTATTGGCATTAGCCTTCCCTTCCCAATATCGGTTTTGGCGATAGCCAAAATTTCCATATCGGTCGGGCTTTACACCTTTGATTTGAGACTTGGGCTGTCCTTCCAGTAAGAAAATGGCATTAAACACTCTGCTGAAGCAACACTTTAGCTGTTTAAGGAGAACCAGTTAAATGTCCTGGAATGGTCAAAGCCCTGACCTCAAACACAATCCACAATCCAGTTATTTTGTTTTGACGTCTTGAGTTCAACATGTTGTTTTGTCAAGTTGGTCAAAAAATAATTTATTAGTAAGCTTCATTCCCCCAAGTAGAATTACATAAACATTGTGTGATTTACAAGATGTACAAATTTTCCAACCCACTTTATTATTAAGCAATCTTCCACCGTGCTGCTAATGAATGTAATTGTACTGACATGTAATGTTTTACAAACCTTAGTATGGGTTAGACTGGTGGCAAAAGAGCTGATTTCCTTCTTTGGGGCCTCCCAACAGGTTCATGAGCCTAGAGCTGAAACTACCTGCAGCCACACTGAGCAGCTACATGCTGTCATGTAAACTACTGCACTCTGCGTATTAACCTCTCACTCAAGGGGCTTTGCACCCTTTTCTGTCTTCACCCCCATCTCTCTCTCTCTTTTACACACACACACATGTTCACACACAATCATTGGCATTTTCACACACCTATTTAGTTCAACAGTTTGTTCACTGTTAGCCTGCCTTCTAAAATCGAATCCCCACATGCACAGAGTGACTCAGCTGGCATTTAGTCACATTTAGTCTTTATAATGAAAGCTGTGTTTATCTTTCTTTACACTGACCTATTGTCTCTTTGCAGCCAGATTCTTCTGAAGGACGACACACAGGTGGTCTATGGTAAATAAACTTTATGAATCATTATTAAATGTATTAACTTATCCAAGTGTCAATGGACACCTGGATGTCCATTGACACCTGGATGTCCAAGTGCCAAGGGGAGAGACCTTGAATGTGGTCTCTCTCCTTGATATCACTGGCTGTGTTTATTTAATGTACTTTGTAGTTGTAATAGGATATCCGGTTTTGCTGAAAAAAATGTTGACCAAGCCTGTCACCTTGTCAGTATTCCACACGGTCTGTTTTGGTTCTTTGTTCATTTTTCACAGTGCACCCTGGAGCTGTGTGTAACAACACTCACAGTGTGCTTTGATACTAGGTTTTAAAATATGTCCGTTCAAGCCTTATGAGAAAAAGCACAAAGAACCTTCCACTGGTTTGATTTTCAACTTCTTATCCATCCATCCATTTTCTTTACCCACTTTTGCTGCTGCCTATCTCCGGCAGTCACTGTGCGAAAGGCAGAGGATACCCTGGACAGGTTGCAAGTCCCTCACAAGGACACAAAGACACAAAAAACATTCACACTCTCACTCACACTAAGAGATTGCCAGTGAATCTAACATGCATGTTTTAGGTTTGTGGGAAAAAACCCTCATGAACAATGGGAGAATATACAAACTTCCCACAGAAAGGCTGGGAGGTGATCATGCAACACTCTTGCTATGATGCAACAGCTCTAACCACTTTACTACAGTGCTGCTCCTGATATCTAGAGTGATTTACTTGCAAATATTTTTCTCAGACTGTTAAATATATGAATATGACAGCTGTATTAAATCTCTGGTTTAGTATAATTTTATTTTTGAGCCTTGATTTCTACAAAATTATACTTTTAGAATAATCAGGAGCAAGCTAAAGTTCTAAGAACTGTGTAAATGGTGTGCCAAAAAAAAAGTGTCTTAATGTTTACATCACTGTGTAATTAATCTAAAAAAAGTTAAGTCTGGTCCTCCGGACATGGACATGTCCGGAGGACCAGACTTAACTTTTTTAGATTTTTCTACCTGGATTATTGAGCATGCATCAGGATATTGTGTAATTAATTTTGCTCTGAATGGGACCAATTTGTACAACATGCTTTCATTAATAAGGCATAACTAAACCTAAGTGCTTCATAAATACAAAAAAACTTCTTTTTTTCCCCCTAAGGTTAGAAATCAGATATAATGTAAAGCACTGCATGATTATGATGCTAATATTGGCTTCACTTTTGACACAAGGTCATATGTCTATATTTTTATAAAGTCTGAATTTGTTCCAAGTTTACTCTTGAACTTGAGGTAAATGTCGAAAAAGAATTGCATCACAGTTATTGTGACAAGAGTCTCAAGAAGAGAATGAGAAGAGTTTAGTGAACAGAAATCAAACGAACTGTCAAAGTCCCTGTCAGCATGAGTACTGCACACCTGTGCCCCTAACTCTCCAGCAGTGTGTTTAATCAGACAGAAATGCGGTGAATAAGCCTCAAACAGTCCGTGCAAAACCTACATAAACATATATATGGAACATGGAATGTCACCTTTCTTTTTGTGAAGGAGCCTGCACTTGTACATGAGGTTGAGAGGTACTGATATGGGCTGGACCATATTCCACTCTAGAGTTGCCCCCATTGTAAGCATTGCAGGCTGATGTGTATCTACTTAAAGTCCCCCAAATAATGAGAGGGTAGCTTTCCTACGACTTCGGGTGGGATGACAGGGTACCTAGCCTTCTTGGAGTCCTTAGCGGGTGTGTTGAAAAGTGCTCAAACCCGGGACTCCTTTACTCTTCTGGAGAACCGCATTAGTGTGCAACAGTGTGACCTGGAAGGGAGTGATTGGGAGGAACAACTTCTCTGATCTGAACCCAAGTGATGTTCTGTTGTTGGACTCCTGTGCTGTCAGTAGGACATTAACAGAGTACTCGAGTAATCTACACATCGTTGCTAGGACCTCTATCGAGGTTAAAAATTTAACATCGAGTAACCGTAGTGACGTCATATTATGTGACCACCGTATGACCGTAGGGGCGGTGTTGCACTGTTGCAGGTCACAGAGTATGGTGTAACACCGGGTCCAATCCACTGAACCAGAACCAGCTTCGGTTTAAGTTTCGTTTTTGACGTGCTGCATGTTTCTTCACGTTTTGCAGTTTAATTAAAATAACTAATAGTTTAGTTTTTCCTGTGACTTATTTGCAGTATGATAAATGGTAGGAGCATAATATACGCTCCCAATGTTTTGTTGGTCTTTTTTTTTCGTAAATAATTACCTTTTTTTGCGGTTTTATTTATTTATTTATTTTTGTATCTTGAGATCTATGACGTCATCAAATACTCGAGTTCTACTTGGGTTTATTATGTTAATGTCGAGTTTAAAAATTATATACTCGTTCAACCCCTAGCTGTCAGGGTTTGTCCATCACAAACACCACGGTCGATGGTGGTGGTGGGGGTGCTCTGTGAGTATATGATTAGTGGTCTGTTGTTACAGGCCGTTCAGTCCTATACAAGTGGTGCAAGAGTTTGGTTTGCATTGCCGGCAGTGAGTTGCACACTTTAGACACAACAAGTACCTCAACTAATTTGAGATCGATAAGACTTATTGGTGCAGCTTCCACATTATTGTGGACTCTGTGCTGGTCTGTTGTGGTGAAGAAGGAGCTGAAATGTAAGGCGAAGCTCCCTGTTTATCCATTGTTCTACATTCCTATGAACTTTGGGTAGTGACTGAAAGAACAAGATCGCAGATACAGGCGGATTAAATAAACTTTATCTGCAAGGTACTAGACTCTAGAGTTATGAAGTCATAATCAGCAGCAGTTGTCTATTTTATAGAGCGAGATAATATATATTTTCAAGAATCTAAAAGAAGAACTATTTCACATTACATTTGTTTTCATTATTTTGCAGCAGTCTCAGCTGAATGCATGCAGCTCAAAAACTTCACTTTGTTTTCTGTAACTACAGACGAGATCATGAAGTCTGGTCCACATCAAAAGCATCATATTGTGAACATGTGAATAATGACAGTTTTTATTATAACTATTCAAGTTCTTCAGGAGGAATATCAACTACTTTGTACCTTAAAAGTGGTTAAAAGTACACACTGCTTAAAAATACAATTTTTTAAATGTTTTTTCAACAAAAATCTAGTCAGTCCTTTATAGCTGTCTCTGTCATGATCAGCGGCCCCCGCTGCCCCCCATCTGCTCACTTCCCTGCCCCTTCATGACATGCTATGTTTTCTGCCATTCTGGTCATAGTTTCTGTTCATGTTTATTCTCATCTCCTGTCAACCTGCACCTCTGCCTGCTCACTTCACCACACCCCCTCAGCTTATCACAGCAATCAGCCCTGATTCCACTCACCTGTTCAGTTCATCTGGTTCACCTGCTCTGCACCCTTCATAAGATCCATTTTCCCCTCTTCACCAGTGTGAGATTATTACACCTTCCATGGTCCCTGATTTTCAAGCCCTCATAGTTTCATGCCTAGACCTCAAGCCTTTTTCTCTGGATTATTGACCTCACGCCTGCCTTCTGGATTTCTTGTTTTTTGCCTGCTCCTCATCTGGTTCTGTTCTGCCTCTCTGACCACGGTAACGACCTCCTCTTCAGTCTATGACCTCGACTCACGGATCAACCTTTTGGATTGCCCTTTGGACCACAAACTTTCATTGCCCCACTGTCCATAGCATTAAAGGCCTCCCTCTGCAGCTACCAGCAGCCTTACTAATAAAAACTGTTAATTTTTGCACTCCTGTGTCCGGCTTATATTGGATCCAAAACCTTGGTTTGTGACAGTCTCAGCCTGAAATAAAAAAAAAACACTAAGTGTGTTTTGTTTAAAAACTCTGCAGTTTTTTTTTAATTTTTTTTCAACTGACAAAGTACTGTATATCTTTTTTTTGGTAAAAACAAAAATTTTAAGGACATTTTCCTCCATTGGTATATCCTCTGGATCAACATCCACATCCTCCTTTGTTCTCCAGAGCTCAGAACTGATGTTTGGTTTTGTTGACCATGTCAGAATGGTTCTGGACCCCCTCCTCTGTGCAGTGTCAGACCTCCTAGTGGGGCTCAGCCCGCTTTTCCTCTTTCTTCTTCTAAAGCAAATCATGATCACTCTCTTCATCAACAAAGTCCTTACTCTGACTCAGACTCTGTTTTTCTCCTTCATGATCCTCTCCTACATCCAAGATTCTGACTCTGCGGTTCTGTTCTCTGGGTCTGCAGCTCCGCCACCCTCACGTTCAAAAATTCTCATTGTTTCGACTCTACTGACTAAACTAAACCCCAATGCACTAAACTGCATGCTAACTATAAAAGCCAAACACGCTAAACATCACAAATCTCTCAAATCTCATGACTCCCGCTCTCACGCCAAACCCCATTCAACTTCTGCACCTTTTTCTTCTTCTTACTCTAGATTTTTTGGTGCTTGACAAATAACTTCAAGCCTCCATCAGAAAGGACGGGGGAGGTTGTTTATCTGTTCGGCAGGGGTGTCAGATGAGAGCGGAGGGTGATGTGGGTGTTTTATCTTTGAGACTGCCCGTCTTTGTTGCAGCCTCTGCTCTAACATGCTTCAGACATGACTGATTTTCTGAAAAATATGTGGTGTGGATCCTTTATCATAACTGTTATTACTTGGCTCATCAACACAATTTAAAAACGGGTGTGTAGATTGAAGTCTGTACTTTTGGAAGAAAGTAAAACATAGTCTCTGAGAGGCTGTGCCTTTCCCACTAGAGCGACTAAAATCGGTCATGTGACTGTCACTTGCCTGAGTGTTGACACCAAACAAAAAAAAATTGTTACTCAGAATAAGTGACTGCAGACACTTGAGTAGGCAGCAAAGATGCAGCCCGCTGCTTGTTATTGAGAAGGCAGCCTTAGAGAGAGGGTGAAAAGTTCAGTTGACTGGCAGATACTTGGAATATAGTTGATGCTCCTCCACATTAAGAGGAGCCGGATGAGGTGATTCAGGCATCTCCTTAGGATGCCTGCATATGCTT